TTTATAGTTAATAATTGCTTAATTAGTACTGTATTTAAAATAATGGAAAACCTTTAAGTGGTATATGAATCACAGAATATTCCGTGTTTTCCGTAATTTATGGGAATATTCCGTGTATTACTCGATAAACTGTAGATCTTATCTACTGATAAAAACTTTTGTTGCAAATATATTGTGCGTGATTATAGTGTTGATAATAACTAATAGTTTGTTTATAGTTACACACTGTTGTCAACAAGTGTGACTGGTAGTTATAATGTTATCCAGGCACACGTAGATAAATTCTGGTCAGTTCTGGTTTTATTCAATAAGTTGAATAACATATAAAACATGTGTTTTTCGTGGTGTTTATAATATAAACATTTTGTAATAGTATTGAGAAACACATGAATTTTTTGTTAATGTAAATACTGTTGAGTTTTTATCTCATTATAAATATACAGATTTTTTGGTATTTATTTTTTGACAAAACTTTTGATTTGTATGCAACTTGCTCATTTTACAGGTCATAACCCTTTCCACTGTGGGATACGGCGATAAGGTTCACGTATGTATTGTTTATTATTTATTTTAATACATTTATCAGTGAACTAATGTCAAGTACTTAATGTTTAATCCGATTTGAGCTAGTTATATTATTTGCATACTGCAATATTGTATAAATACTTTTAAGTGGACAGGTGTTTAAAAAGTGAAAATATAGAATTGGTATTAAAACCGCTATTAGTGATCAATGTAACTTTTATTTAGTTTTTTATTTTACTCAAATTTAATTAACAGGGTAGCTTTATCAACAATAAATTATGAAATTATAACAAAAATATTAAAAATTATTTATTATTATAATAATCTAGGTAACATGGTGGGGCAAACTAGTAGCCGGCCTATTCTACCGGCCGGTATTATAGGGGCCGGACTGGCCATACATGTGGAACGGGATGAGTCTAACCGACGCCGTAAACAGAAACAATTGGCTGCCATCCTATTCATACAATCCACGTACCGGTGCTATAAGGCTAATCACTGGTACTATGAGCACAACACCACATTAGATGACATACCTGTGCCTCAAATGGGTGGCCAGTTATACACTATTAATAGTACGGCGACGAGAAATGCCGTGCGATTTGTGAGAATAACGCGATTTTTGGCCGCAAAACGGCGTTTCAGAGCAGCTATGTCTGGGGAACTGGACGTCGATCAGGCGTTCAGTAGCTATAAATGCAATCAGATGTCTGTCCATCAGAGGATATCCCAGATTAACGATGTCATGAATGTTATGGACCGGAAGGTTAGCATTAATGAGTGTTTGGCGCAAAAGTCTGAACAGAATATTCTGTACAGAATAGAGACCATGAGTTCACTCATTGAGTACATCGAGTGTCAACTCAAGCGACAGAATATGTTAATTGATTTCATTGAATATAATAGCGGTTTGAATGCAAATAAATTTCATACAAAGTGTACCGAAAATACTAACCATAAGAATAGTATTAATGATAATAATGTTTATAATAAAATATATGAATCGCGAATAAATGAAAAAGTATTTTATTTGAAAAACTGTGTAAATAATGAGTTCGCATAATATTTCGTAACTATTTTTGTAATATTATTTGTGTGTATTTAGATGCTTGTAATAAATTATTTATAAAAAGTGTGATTAAACTCTAATTTAAAAATAAAATAACTTTTGTACACTTATATCAGTTATTACAATAATTTCTATAAATATTTTTATAAACTCTTAAATACTATTAGAATTTATTCACAAATAATATGAACTACAAGGAATTGTATAAATATTTGCATTTGATGATGAAAATGATCCTGATATCAATTATCATTAAGCATAAGGATTAAAATTCCTTATAATTGCAATGAGAATCATATTATGAATCTCAAGTGAAATCTCAACAATATTCTTATCTAATAAGTCAAGGAATTACTCGTACGGTGGAAATCATTTGATAATTTATTATATGATTATATGTGAAAACAATTGCAATGAAATAGCGATCAAAAAACAATAGTAAATGTAGTTTTTTTTATATCAATTAATGTATTTATAAAGGATTTAGAAAATGAGGACAAATATATAGTTCATAAAACTTACGATTAGTTTACCAATGAGTGTCACAAATAAAATTAATATTATTTATGAATATATATGATATGACTATTGCTTTATAATAAAACATACAATTCTTCGAACAAAAAATAATTACATTCAAAAAAATAGTAACTTATAATTAAAATAATTCATTCATTAAATGCATAATAAAAACACTAAAACTCATAAATTCATATCCAATAAATGAACCATGTATATAAATTTGTTAACACACACGCTATTTAAATAAAATATATATATTCACGCGACTCCTGTACCGGGAATTCCTCCTTTCACACGGAATTCCTCCTAAGACTCATTGAATTATCACAAAATTTATTATTACTATAACTATTGGTATTATTCACAAAATTACTACAACTCTGTCGGCCATCGGTGGCCGTACCGGAGGACTGGGAGTCCAGCACGTAGTCGACAAACTGCTCGCTACGGATCAGTCGCCGGGAGATACCCTCCATCACCGGTAGCTGACTGTCAACCCTCGCAATAATGGCCATCAGTGTCACCTCCAGTCTCTCAATCTTGCGCTCCAGACACGTATTCGCGCCGTAAATCCGCGACTCATTAGCCCCTATCTTACGGACAATACTGTCCACCGACCTCTGGATCAGCTTCACCTTATTCATCACATCCAGCTGCCCGTCCTTATAGCTCTGCAACACATTCTTGATGTCCAGGGGCCGTAGGAGTTCCTTGAACCGTTGTTTGGCTATGAAAAACTTGGTCAGCCGGACAAATTTGTTGGCGATGTTCTCGTAGTCATGTTTTTTGAACAAATCCATGGGTTTGTGCTTAAAAAAGGACGACACCGCTACGTAATTGGCGTTAGCCTTGTAGCACCGCCACATGCACTGGATTAAAATGGCCGCGGCCACTTTTTTCTTTTTTCGCTGCTGATTGCGCTCCTCCTCCTCCACTTTCAGGGCCAGTCCTGTGCCGATGATGCCCGCGGGTAAGGCGAATATGGCCACTCCCAGTACGGTGAATAAGCTGGATATTAGCTTGCCCAGCCATGTCATCTGTGAGGGTGCGAGAGGTAGGTGTTAAACATGGTGTTATTGAGGTGTGTTTATGTTTGGTGTAATTTTTTAAAAGTTAATTATGTGGTTTGTTTTTTAGGTTTTTTAATTTTGCATGTGTAAATATAAGCAATTAATAAATAAATTACTGTATATCTAATCCGCAAATAATCTAATATTTTATATCAATTTTATGATACGAAAGTAGAGTTTAATTTTTAACATTGTCTCGATACTTTTACTTTATTACTTACTTGTTAGTGAATTAATTATTTAGTTATAATTAATATATTAGTATTATAAATTAATAAAATTAAGTAATACAGTATACGAAAATAATTTCGTTATAAACTGTATACTAAAATCTCAAAAAATTTCGCGTATTACAAAATATTAAAACTAATATAAACCGGGATCTGTTAGATGATCTGATATTTTACAAACAGTAATTAAAAATTACATAAACTAAACATGGTAATCTACAAAAACTCAATAATAAACTTGGCTACTTTGACATAACTTTTGGATAATTTAAAAATCTATAAACCTTGCATATTTTATTTAACTATGGCATGCGTTAGTACTGTAAATGTAAACAAAAGTGAGTGAAAGTGTGTAAAACTTTTACAAAATTGATGTAAAGTTTTTAAAAATTAGTGAATTAGTACTAGTACAGTATATTAATAAATGTTATTTTTGATAACTAATTATCTGTAATTAATTGTGTTTTAAAAATCAAGTGTAATATTCAGTGTAAGTGTATTGTAACATAAGGTCATACGCACCGGCACTTTATCCCCGTAGCCAACCGTCGATAGGGTAACCAACTGTATGGACACAAAACAAAATAAAATAAAATAAAACCTCAAAAGATTATAACTATAGTATATCACAACACAACACAACACAGCAAACTACATACCGGTGCTTGTAAAAAACTTACTTGCTAAATAACAAACTATTAAAAATTACAACAAAAAATACTATACAAACTTTACAAACTTTAAAGCACCGGTACTTCGGGGGGGGGTGCCACACACATATGCTTTAAAAACTTACTAGCTAAATTAAAACAATTCACTAAAAATACACCAATAACTACTTTACAAAACTTCAAACTACCGTCATTTTACTTGGGGAAGGGGGACAGGGATCACACAAAGGGTTGTATAGACTATCACACACACACAAAAAAACAGACATCCCTTACCGCCCACCACATGGCCTCCGCAATGCTATCGAACTGGTGGTTCTCATCCTTCTCCACGATATAGGAAATGTACGCCAAAATACACAACACTATGAACTCGATGTAAAATATGATAAACAACTGCTCCCTCTGGTCGTAGATGACCGAGGACAGCACCTTCCAGGGCTGCAGTTGCTTATTGAGCGTCAGTATCTGTAGGACTTGAAAAAAGCGGTGAAACCCGCGGAAAGCCGACGCCGCGAACACCTCGTGACCGCTCGACGGGTTGATCGTCAACACCACCAGCGATAGGGTGATGACGATGACATCCATGAGCCGCGAGGGCACCGACAGGTACTTGATTTTGCCGGACCAGCCCTGGTATTGGTTTTTGCAGCTCGACGACCACATCCGGATTATGAATTCCCCCGAAAACCATATGATTATGACTTTCTCTAACAGGTATAGGAAGCGTAGGGCTCCTACATGTCGAGAGGTGACCAGCCCTGGTATTGGTTTTTGCAGCTCGACGACCACATCCGGATTATGAATTCCCCCGAAAACCATATGATTATGACTTTCTCTAACAGGTATAGGAAGCGTAGGGCTCCTACATGTCGAGAGGGAGGGAGATATACAAAGCAATTAGTATACCTGTGCTATCGGGGAATATGTGCATTCGATTAATGATTATAATTATTTAAATTTATTTTAAGCTAGTTACTTTTGCTATTAAGTTATTTTTATTTAAGTAGCTTTAGCTAGTTACTTAAAAACTGTTAGCAAGTTATAAGTTATATTTTTTATATAGAGATTTTAGAGGTTAGGCACCTATTGCATGTGATTAGTACAATTAATTTGATCAAGCTAATTATATAATGAATACACTAACCGACTTGAAACTCATCAATCGTCGAGAATACCGTAACTATAAGGCACGCGAATACCATTATGAACACCAGTATGTGATAACTTATGGCCCAAAAACCTATGAGTTTAGTAGAAATAAATAAATACAAATACTTTGTTGTAAAAACTGTAAATATAAGCAATTAATAAATAAATTATATCAAATTCACAACCAATCTAATATCTATTGGGATATGAAACAGATTCGTTTTTAATTTTTAAAATTATTCAGATTATCCTGATAGTTTTAGCTCGATACTTATTGCTAGGCACTTATTTATAATTTTGAATTACTTAAGTATTAAAAATTAATTCCGGTACAAACTGTACACTAAAAGCACTACCAATTTAACCAAGCATAACAAAAATTAAAACTCAAATAACTGGCTCCTACAGTAATTATCTTATATTACAAACTGTAATAAACAAATAAAGCAAAAATTCACTAGCTAATTTACAGCAAAGTAAATAACAAATATGGAAAGCGGAAAACCCAACATTTTTGATAATTAAAATAATTATAACCCAATTTACAAGCAATTAATACATAAAATATATCAAACCTACAATCAATAAAATATCCATTTGAGAAAGCAAGTAGTTTATAATTTTTAAAATTATTCACAATATCCTTATAATTTATAAGTTATAAATTTACTTTGATACTTATTAATAATTATTAATTAATTAAACAAGTAGTATTTAAAAATTAATGCCACTGCAAACTGTACACTAAAACCACTACCAATTCAACCAAGTATAACAAAAATATAAACTACAATAACTGGCTAATACAATACCGATGTTAATTTTACAAACTGTCACCCACAAATTACCCAAAACATAGCCTAGCTAATTAACACCAAATTAATAGTAAGCATGGTTATAATATTACAGTGTAATAAAAAAACACAAACAACGTGGTCACAAACCTTTTGGGTAATTGAGAAAATTATAAACCATGTACTTTTGCTTGTAATTCTTGGTTTTCTGGTTGAAGTAGGTATGCATCCCGAGTACGGACCCCAACTCCTCGTCCGATTGGCGGCACTCCCTAATCGTGCGCTTATTGTTCACCTCCTGAAGCATAGCCAGTATTTTCCGTTTCGTGTAGGCGCTGGTGTTGTTGAACGTCTGGACGTTGGATAAGTCGAAACCATTGGCATTCTTCTGGATTACTATCTGCGGCACTCCGGTATCCTTGTTGAGCACCACTACGCTGTTGCGTTTGGTCTGGTATAGGGAGATGGGAGGGCTGGTGGATGACTGCTGGGACAGGTATTCCCGTTGCACCCGGTTTAACATTGTGGGGTCCAGTTCCGCACTTTATTGGGCAATGGATATGAGAATAATGTTGTGTTAATTCAATGAATATTTAGCTAGCAAGTTTATATTCAGTGAATATTTATAGCTATGAAGTGAGTATCCAGTGAATATATTACACTAGGAGATTAGTATCCAGTTAATTTTTCCGTTAAATAGCGTTTCATATTCTCATAGCAAGTATTTGGAGCCCAATATTGTACACAAAAATAATATCGCATTTGAAGTCATATTTATTTATATGTCTTAATGATTATTACGACGCCTTTTCTCACTCACTCTCATCAACACATAAATAATAAATAAAATGAAAAACTATTTTTTGTTGATTCAAAAAATATATATTTATTGACTATTAGCTACACTTCACTTAATACACAGACAACCAGTTAATAGCCATGTATTGAGCGTTTCAATGCTATGAACGCCGGGTATATTCAATGGACGGCTAATACACTACTGTATGCACCGATTGACTGAATCGACAAAATGGGAAACTTTTTTCGTAATGAAGTTATAAATAGTTGGCAATAATATCAATCAATGCTGAATATAGTGAACACTGTATACAATGAAGTGTATTAATACGTAAACTGATGCTCAATCGATGTGTTGATTAAGTGAACAAAAATTTTTTACTAATAAAAACCACAGGAAAGGCAACTTAATAGCACATCATATATGAAATTGATAACTATTTCTATGTATTTGTGATTCACTTGAATACTGACTTAAAAACACTAGTCATTACACACACACAACACATAATCAACACATTAAGTGGCTATTAGTTATTGAAAGTCTAAAATAAATGCTAAATTACTTTCTTAATTATCTCTACGAAAAGTAAGTATTACTTGTTTTACAGGCTTTTCAATCATAAGACGTGTGCAGGTCTTCAAGGGATGGGATTAGTTAGGGAGGGGGAGGGCCTACTTAGGTATCAAAAAAGGTGCACTGATACTTTTATAATCTACTGATTTAAGAGTTATATTGAATATGATTGTGAGATGCATGATAAATAGTATACATGGTGATAATTAAAGGGGTCAGTACCGGGGACAACCTTGCTATAAACTGGGTAATTTTTAAGTGTACTGTAGATACATTAGCTAGATAATTAGGTGCTATTAATAGATAAAAGTGTGTACAACAAAAGGGTTTCTGTATTCCCGGTGAACGGTATGTCTGAAAATGTTATGATAGGACTTACAATGAGTTTAATTGTGAATTGAATTGAAGTTTTTGTATTTCATTCACACTTATAGTGAATATAATTCATTGAATAATTGCATGCATTTATACAGTGATTGACTGTATTTTTATGTAATATAGTATATTTATTTAATTATTATTATGTATACATGTATGTATAATATAAATCTGGTTAAAACTCGCACCGATAGTAAAGTGTCTAATGTTAAATTAAATATAAGTTTATAAGATTTTAAGATTTACTTTTATAAAACAGTACAGTAAATACTATTTATAAAGTTTGTGTCAAACCGATAGCAACATAGCAAACAAAATGTTTGAATAGGTTTGCAACAAAAATTGGTGTCAATTATGGGTTTTCCACGCGATATGACTATTAATAAATTGTAATTTTCCTAAACATTTACTACTATTTTCTTATAAATGTTTTGTTTACTTGTATTCATTTGTTTGCATGACTTTTGTATCAAATGTTTGATGTAAAAGTGAAAATTTGTTATACATTTTGCTTATTAGCGGAGAGAGAGAGAGAGAGAGAGAGAGAGAGAGAGAGCTATTAAATGTCATAAGAAATAAATACAAGAATTCTCTAAACTTTTTTTGATGACTTGATGTCATGTTTTTCATATCTCGATGACATGTTTTACACAACAAAAACTCAATACATTTGTTAACCACATATTGATTACAAGTTATGATTATGTACCATACTATCAAATTGATCCAGGGGCTAGGGATGGGGGTGGACTCACTCACACACACACATGTTAACAAATACGCCTAAAAAAGTGCATGCTACATATTAATTTTTAACCACTGATATGACATAATAGCTACGATTTACTATTAGATACCATGTTAAACATCAACCTCCCGACCCCCACAGCACTGGTACCCCTTTGAATATACCATTTCATCGGAATTAATACATTATCTCAAAGTTTACATTAATTTGTAAGACAAGACACTCTCTAACTGTCAGATAAGGCAGTCATTCAGCGAGACGTCAAACAAACTGATGGTTCACTCAGAAATGGATATAAAGTTTTTGATTGTCTATTAAATAACATGTATTTATATCTCTCATTAGTAATATACGAATAGCTAGTATAACGTGAGAAATAAGCTAGAAAAGTATAAAATTGTTATTTATGTTTGTTTGTTTATTAGCTAGCAATTTATTGGTAACAAGTGATTTGAAAACAAAATTATTTTGTCATGTTTTCTGTAATAAATCATATGTTGTTTAGTATTGAATAACAGGAAATGTTTAGTACTTTTCACAGTTATAAATAAATAGATTTTATTTTATTGTAAAAAGTTTTTATTAAAAATTGCCTAAATGTCTGTGTAATTAATAATACTTATTAATTCATTAATTATTTTAAATTAGATAAACCTTTATATCCAATTATATATCATATTTGAAATCATTATTTATAAAAATTATTTTTAGGTATAAATCCCCTAATAAAGTACAAAAATGACAAAAGTTTGGGAAAGTGTTTGTCAATTAAATGCGAGTCTCAAGTCATAAATAATATAATCAATATGAAAATCGTGATCAAGAAACTTCTCATTGAATTTTCACATAATAAACCTTCAATGACATTTGAATTATACAATTCAATACATAATAAAATAACAAATGTACAAATATTTTCTCAAAGCTCATGGACATATAATAATTATAATATACATTGAATTTCTAACAGATTTATTACACTAAATTAGTTTGATTCAAGATGTTAATTGTTAATTATATTAGTTTTAAATTAAATTTGTACTCAAAATAGAAATTATTTATAAACATATAATTTTTAGAAAAAAAAATTAATGACTTATTTCATTAAATTGAGTACACAACTAATTTTATGCAAGCTAATATTAGATTGTAGGGGAATGGTAGTCTGAGCAATTAACAAACAGTTTATAAAATTATATTAAATACCATAAATTAATTTACAATATATAATAATTAAGCTATTATTTAATAGCTATTCCAAACTTGTGCAACCGACCTTGGCACATACACGTGTTTTAATGTCAAATAGCAAGCAATATAAATATATACACACTTTTAGGACCTACCTCATTATCACTATATGTTTGCCAAATGTTAATCCACTTCACTGTACGGTTGACTTCATAATAAATTTTCCATTACTTCCGTGTTATAAGTGAAGACTTTGTTTAATTTATCTTGCTTAGATAGCAATAAATAATTATGTAATGACCACACTCAAATTAACTATGCTGGCTTACTTTACAGATATAAGTAGCGTTACCACATGTCCTCCATTTGTACATCTTTTGTCTCCATTCTTACGGACAATATTAAAGTGAACGTAAAGGAGCTAGGTATGTTTGAGATATTAGTGCACCTAAATCACAAGTAATAAGTTAGCCCAAGTGCCCTAGCGCATTTTAAACACAATAAACATGTAAGTGTGTAAGTGTAACATTCTATAAAATTACAAGTTATATCAGGATCAATATATAATATATCAACGTGGTAATTATTGTAGGTTAATTGTATTGCTGATGGTTAATATCTAGTAATTATATTTCACATAAAAAATATAACTTGTATCTCAACTGGTAAAGTTATTAACAATTGCTATTCAATTGTTATGACACTGGTACATTCAAATACAAACACAGATATTGTACTGTATAATTGTTAACACAATAGCACTTATTAGTTTTGTAAAAGATTTTTACTACTATTTCATCATGATAGTAAAAATAATCAATAAATACACTACTTTTTGATTCACTCGTAATTGACATTAAGTTATAATAAAGCTAATAATATGACTAGTATAATTAATTTTTACATAGTTAACTTAGATACGCATGATTTCATAATACATGTGAGGCACCTGAATACATAACACGTGTACTAAGCTAATAATTACCATGATGTTTGTTAAGTTATAATAGAAAACAGGCTTACATTAATATTTAATTCCTAAAAAAATTATTTACAAAAAAAATAACATTTTAAAAGTGAATTCAATTGATTGATAAAAGAAATGATGCCAACCCTCTCATCCCGTTCCCCAATGTCATAAAATGTGTTCATAATATTTATTCAGATTTATTAAAAATAAAAATACATTTTAAGTGCAAAATTGTTACAAAAGTATTGTTTATTTATTCAGTGTTGGTGATTTTGTAATGTTTTAAAAAATTATAATAAATATAATAATTTTATTAACAACATAAAAATTAACTTTTAATTGTATTATAAATTAATATCAATTGGCTCCCAATTTATAACGTTATTTAATCAAATTAAAATAATAATTAACGTAATCAATTACTCTGGTACAGTTTGTTGAATATTAATAACAAAAACTATACTGTATCTAAAATTAAGAATATAAAACTATTAATTTGTTACTAAATACTATTTATTAATAATTTTGATCCTTGCTAATTAAATTTATAACAATTATTCTAGCATTAATATTCTGTATAAAATGTAATTTAAATCGCCAATAATTTTAAAACTACTTTGTACTTAAGTACAATTTTATAAACTATTTATAAAAATCTTATTCTAAACATAATGTTCAAATATTTTATAAATAACTTACAATAAATATTAAACAAAATACAAATTTCTATATTATATTACAGCACACAATAAACATCTCAATTTACAAAGTGTATAATTATCAAGTAATCAATTTACATAAAAATAATTACATATTATATAAACTGTCACTACATGTCCATATTAACTAATAAAGTATTTGTAATAAACCCCAACTTTTCAATTAAATTATAACTAATTTAAAATCGGACTAGCGTATCCAACTAGGGTATCCAATTGGACTAGGGTCACATCGCGTATCCAAACCCGGCTCATCCATTTGTCCCATGATATCCACTGAAGCCATTCCGGGACACACTATGAGTGACAAAACTTTAAACATTTTAGCATTAATTTCAATACTGACTAATGTTATAATATTCACAGTTTTATCATTGTTAATGTCCCCCGGATTACAATGTATACGCATCTGAAAATATTTATCTTATAGGATTCACAGCTGTAGATAGTTGAAATTTAAATTCATTTTTGCTAAAGATTTTATATCCAGAATAATACAACTATTATTTATTAAAATAATTTTATGAAACTTGGTACAGAGATTTATCATGGGTCACTTCGCGTCTCCAATACCATCAGTGGACGAGCGTTAGCCATCAAAGACATTTCCGATGGGAACCTACTCCGGTCTTTTCGGGTCTCCAACCCCATCAGTGGACGAGCGTTAGCCATCAAAGACATTTCCGGCTCGAAGAAATAGCTAATTATGCAATAATTATCGGATCGCAGTGCGATTCACTGGCCAAAAATTAAAACCGTTATATGTGTACAAATACAGTCTAAGTATAGTGACACTGATATCTAATTTTAAGTCCGAATTTACCGATACCCTTTCCCATATGTAAACTATCTGTTTTACAAGTTCATATTTATAGTATAGTATAGTATACAAAGTTAGTTAGGTTAAATAGCATGTAACGTTTGCCCTTAAAAAGACTGATTGGTTAGTGATTAGTGAAGACATTAGTGATTATATGCTCGTTGTCTGGGTACAATTAAATTAAAATTGCATGGTCTTACCTATTACGCATTCATGTACGATTTAATTTTATCCCTATAAAAAATGTTAATTTACCAAATTTATTTAATAAATTATTATTTAATATAGATAGATTTACCAAAAGGAATTAAAAGATAAAATTATTATTAGGGCCTAATTCTAAAATTATTATTAGGGCATTCTATTCAAGTAATTTTTAAAAATTATCAATTAATATTGAGAAATTTAATTGAAATAATAGACATGGATAGACCATAAATACCTATAATTTAATAATTATGATTAATTCTATGTTAGATTAACTGTAAATGTGGGTTTCTATAGCATTGCTTGCAAACCTTGTTAAAGATTATTTTGAAATGTGGATAATAAATTCTTTAACATTGTTTTTATCAGAAACCATTTTAGCCCTTGTTATAATAACTTATCAATAATAATAATAATGTCATTTCAGAAAGATATTAATTAATAAATAAACTAGCCAAGTAGTTAATTATACAGTACTAAAAACATTTGTTAATATTTCTTCAATACTAAAACAATATTTGATCTTTAATGCTCATTGTAATATTTTAATAATTAATAATTCTTTTTTCAACCAAAATATACAGTATTTCAATCTGAATTGGGTTTCATTTGATTTTTACCCACATTTACGCAGTAAAAAAGTGGATTATCAAATCACTTTGTACCACACCTACCCCCTACCCCCTACCCCCTCACTCCAGCACTCGCACTTTAACACTACTTCATAGATTTAGCATGGGTTTTTTGACAGTTTAGCCCTTAAGGACTTTCTTTCCTATGGAAAATAACAGCAAAAGTGGGCAAAAGTGTTTCCGATGACGTAATGACGCTGTGTTTTCTGGCCCATGTTAAACCTATGGAAAATTTGTATATAATGATGGTGCATGATGGGTGTGTAAAAAAATGTCGGTTGCAGAACATAAAATCCCATAGCGTTAAGCAACAAATGGACATTGAGGGACATATGGTCGAAAAAGTACGACCAAAGTGCACAAAAGTACCATGATAAGTTCCACAACAATGGTTTGAAAATTTTTTTAATTTCTTGAAAATGATAAAATAGCTCAAAAGTGCTAGATATGTCACTAAACGCCATGTTAACCCTATGTGATGGATATCCAGTTCCACAACAATGGTTTAAAAATTTTCAATATTGCTTGAAAATGCTAAAATAGCACAAAACTGCTAGATGTCTCACTAAACTCCATGTTAAGTCTATGGGATGGATATCCTGTTCCACAACAAGTTCTGCAGGCGATGACACTCTACAGCCGATGGACACGAATGAAGGCATTGAGAGCACCGTTAGGTCGACCGACATCCACGAGGCTATGAATGATCGGCCGATGGGAGAGGCGATGGACGACAGCAAGAAGTATGTCCAACAAGTGGTGGATCTGTTGAGCGATAACTCGAAGAACATCGACCGAAGGATATGTTGAAACAGAGAAGGAAACCAAAGGCCATCAAAACAACAGCCAATTCTCTTGAGAACTACAACTGCGGCGACAATGGGATCAACAAATGCAAGACCAGGCCTAAGGGTCCTAAGTTTCGGCCCAAAGACCACTCAATCTCTGGTTTCATGTTTTATTGCATTTATATTTTACAACAAAAAGTCTTATTTTATTTGAAATAAAATTTTGTGACCAGTGGCCGGTCTGTTCACGAAAGCACACATACACTCATACATCATAATAACATTTACCTTGATATATTTAAATAACCTTACACCGGGATATTAAATGCTTAAAACACTATAAATTCTAAATCACACCAAATATTTACACATTACACTAAACTACAGATCCAAGCCCTGTGAGGGCTGGAAGCACACTCTTACACAACCAAACACACCAAGTGTTTGGCACACACTGTGAGGTCAGACACAGGGATGTCAGTATATATTGGCATTGGCATACATCCCTGTGTCTATAAAAAGTGCCAAAAAGTGTTTGCACCTTCCAACACTTGCCAGAATATGTGCCAACATTGCTACTACCAGTGCCTGCACTGACAATATATTAAAATATTTTTTTTCATAACAAGTATTTCCACAAAAAGACAAAAGCAATCGAAAACGGCTTTACTGTTGAGCGAAAGGTTTAAATGGTTTTAAACGATTAAACATTTTCGTTCACTAATGTATTAGTCTATTATAGTTTATGAATAATGTGGGGTCACAGGGATATTAAGTTTATGACCGGGAATTGGCTCACAAATAACAACATTAGTGAACGAAAAAGTTTAATCGTTGAACAAAATTTGAACCTGTCCCATAATTAAAAACCTTAAGTTTTTAATTTATTAATTTTAGATTATTTAAAAGATCGTACAAATTGTGAAGTTACTTTAAATAGTTATATTAAAATAATATTTATATTGAATGCCTATTAAATAATAGGATAATATGAATGCGAAACACATTTATTGAGGACTTTTGGGTTTATTTCCCACTTTTGGTGCAGTTTTAGGACTTTTAGGTTTGGTCTCAACTGTCGGTCTATTTGTAGGACTTTTTGTTTGACTACTTCTCGACCCAATAGTCTGTTTCGAGTCAACACTTCCCTCTTTCATACCTTTCATAATAAGACTCCACTTTCCCATCAGTTCTACCGATGAATTAGTTCCCGAAGACATACTAATATCACTCAATGGCGCTGTCATTGAGATAATCATTAATAATTATATCAATATTTGTGTTTTGATTAATACATACAATGTTTGGTCTTTAAGATTAAGTCAGTGGCGGACGTGTCCTCACGTTTATTACTGGCTATCAGTTTGAGTTGAAATGCATTGAAATATATATTCAGAATATTCTGTTTTTTGATTATTATTGAGTCCATTATTAATGAAAAGATGACAAACATGATTTATATAACGAGATAAGAAATATTATTAAAAACTAAAAAATCTCATTTGAATTAACCGTTTAGTGAACTGAATATAATTTAAAGACATTGAGTTTGATACGAGACCAGCGATTCTCGTCTACTTATAGACTTAATTCTTATCAAATTGACAATCATTTAGTCATTTCTTATAATAAGTATTGATATTTAATGTCCTTCGTTCAAATTGTGATTTAATATAAACTCTAAATAATCTAATATAAATGTATAGTATTCTCAAATGATTAAAAATAAAAATTTTTAAAAATAGTCAACTAGTATTCTAAAGTTTTGTCCCTTTCCCATAGAAATCCCAAATCCCGCCCATTACCCACCTATCTAACAATCTTAATTAGATTATACTAAACTATTTGTAAATTAACCAGAATCTTAAGTAAATTAACTAAATTGTTAAGTATATTAGTTAATCATTAGCTAAATTTTCACTAAATTAACTACTAACATAAGGCAAAACACAATAGGACTAATATACAAGGCAAAATACATAAATATAATACATAAGGCTGGAGTGGAGGGTTCCGGGATGAACGAATGAATTACCTAGGTAAACTTGATAAATTAGGAAGGTAGTTAAAGGAAAAATGACAGGACTTTCCTTCCCGTCCCGGAACCCTCCACTCCAGCTTTATGTATTATATTTATGTATTTTGCCTTATGTATTTTTGATAAACATTTTATACGATAAACATATGATTAATATTTGATAAAATCGGCGGGTCGAGGCGGGTTCCCGCAAGACCCGCTTAACAGCTTGCGGACAACCCGCTCCCCACCCGCCTTAAAATTTTATCGTCCCACCCCGACCCAACGCGGGGCCCCGCACCCAACCCGCTTGCGGGATCCCGTTTTCTGATACTAACTGCGATGTCAGATATGAGGTAATTGTATCAAAGTGTATATGAAATTCATTTAGTTTCACGAGTATTGCTATCATTGTTAAGAACCACAACAAGAGCTCTATTGTCACCACTGAAGTGATCGACGACATCCACATCGGGGCCAATGATGTCATATTCAGGACATCGAGTGATGTACTAAACGACTGAAAATTGGTTTTAAGCAAAAAAGAGCCCAAAATCTGGTGTTTTAATCCGGAAGTGAAGTCAGGGGACAGACGTGTTGTGGGATTATATGATTGCAAACAGAAAATCAAAGACATCGCGGATTTCATCAGTAGATTCAACCACTTGTCGGCCATTACAGGGATTGTCTATCGCAACGATGGGCGCAATACTTTCGGACACTTATTCGACATTAATGGACAGCATTTATACTTTCACTTATAGCCAGCTCTAGACGACAGGACATGACATCCGAGACATTGAGCACAAAATGTATTGAATTTTCATTAATTTTGTAAAAGTTATTAATTGATTCACTTATTCACAGCCAATATAACTGATAGTATGAGTCAAAAGACACCGAAAAGGCTTCTCGAAGGGAGTCATCAAATTGAAAGGACATTGATTGAGGACACGGAGGGTATGTCTGATCAGGATTTGGACAAACTGTCGGCAACACTCGTCGCGAGTATAGATATTTCTTAAGATTTCATTTGTTAATTAAAACTACAAATGAATGCTATTTATGATTATATTCAGATATAAATAAAACAAAAGAAATGAGAAAACAATCAAAAGTCCGATAAATGTGTCGAAAACAGAGACCAAATCCAAAAGTCCTACAAATAGATGGAAAGTTGAGACCAAACCTAAAAGTCCTAAAACTGCACCAAAAGT